CGGCCCCCGCCGATGCGGCCGGTGCGGCCGGTGGTGCAGCACCGCTCCAGCAGCAGCAGCAGCTCGGGGGGGGGCAGCCCCGCCGTCACCCCCACTGAGAAGCTCTTCCCCAGCAGCTCGGCAGATAAATCGGGCACCATGTAGGCTGGAGCATGGGGAACGCGGCGGGGAGAGCCAGCGCCTGGACGGTGGGAGCAGGGCCGGCAGCTCGGCAAAGCCTTGCTTGGCCAAGTGGGAAGTCAAAACCATGCTCAAAAGGAACCTCTCCAAAAGGGAACAAGTGCGTAGCCTAGGCCTGATGGTTGATTGTACATACGTGTGTGTGTATGTACATATGTGTGCACACGCACCCCCATCCATGCAGAAACACTTCCCAAGCTTGCAGTCCTACGGCAGGAGGAGACGGTGGGTCTACGTGTTGGCACTGGAGAATACACGCTATATGTAGAAGTATATATTAAAAAAAAAAAGTGTACAGAATTTGATGACTTTTTTAAAAAGTAGATTTACCTCAGAAACTGGCTCTGAAATGTCCTCTCTAGAGATGTTGGGTTGATTTGGGGTTTTTTCCAGGCTATTTGTGTGCGTGTGTGTGCGTGGAGGTACGTAGCAGCTGTGCGTCAAGCAATACAAGGCCAATCCTGGAATTTATTTTCTTCACCTCTTGGCATTTAAAAAAAAAAAGGGGGGGGGGGGAGATACAGTGGGTTTTGTTCATTGCTGGCCTATGGAGAAGAGCTGGAAATTCATAAATGACAATGTGTGTCAGGCCAGCTGGAGTGTCTTTTCATCCCGAGATGCCTTCACGTGTGCCGTGACGCCCTGGCCAGCAGCACCCGGCAGGAGCAGGGACAGAAAACGAGGCGTGCTCTGTTGGCTTCCCGCAGGGAGAAGGACCTAGCTGCTGCACCAGGGCACAGTGCTGCCCTGCCTGCACCGTGGGGTCCACAGAACTCTGATTTTCTTGAAGATTTCAGAATGAACAAGGACTGGTGACAAACCTGTGGTAAAGCATAAATACAGTAACTTACACATTTTTGAGATGCTTCATTTCCCTTTCCCCACACACTTTTTTTTCTTGTTTTTGTAAAAAAAAAAAACAACTAGTGGTATCTCAACAGATAGGACTAAACAGGCGAGGAGGCTTTGGTACAACAACGTTCCTTTATTTGAAGTTGCACAGCAGTACATGAGGGTCTTGATTCAGATTGCGTCGTCTTGCATGAAAAGCATGAGCCATATTTGACCATATCAGATGCGGAACCGATCTGATGGGGTGATATTTTGCACTTTCTGTACTGTACTATATAATACAACAGTTTGAGTTTATGCAAAAGAATCTACATTTTGTTTTTCCTCTGAACATTTAACCTAGAGAAAAAATATGCAGAAAGAGCTGGGGATTGCATGGTACTTTGTCTGATAATCAAGTCTCTTCTGTAAGCGCTGAATTCAAGACACTCTGTGCTTCTCCTGCAGGTTTTTTTTCTTCCTGTACAGATTTCCATGCGATGACCCGTGGTTTAATTTGGTCACTTCTACATGATCACG